AGGAAAAGCTATGCTGTGTGGTAGCAGCTGCTGCTTCATACCAATGGCTTTAGTACATTGCTACACCTGGCTCGTTGCTTGGATGTTATGCACAAGGGGTCTTTGTTAATCAGATCAGCAGCAGGAATGACCTGGAACATGCAGAGTATTGAAAGAAGGTATTCTGCATAACACATGAATACTTTGTGTGTCAGAGTAATTTAGACTCAGAGCTCTGTCTAAATGTTGTAACATTGCACACTTAATAACAGTCTAGTGCTAGCCAGAACATAATTACTCGCTCTCTAAAGCACAATTTGTAATAACCAATGTGCTCCTTACAACTCTGATGACTGAGATCATCTCTGAATCTTCAGCTGAAGGGACACACCTGAGGTCAGCCATTATCTCTGTGTGTTCTTACTATCACAGTGTGATAGGAATTGGCTTTAATATTCATGCATAGAGCATTCATGTCCATGGCTGCTCTTTAATGCCCAACAAGACTTTTGGTATTGTCTTTACTAGGCAGGAAAGGGCTTAGCCTTAGCAGGAGGCCCTTCATAAGCGAACAACAGGTAAGGTTCAAATCAAATGGTAGCATATTTTAAGTAATGTCAATTAATTTAAATTTATAGTTCTAACAATCATTAGATCTTTCTAAACTACAAAAGTTCTTAAATTCTGGTAATCATGCAGCTATGTCATCCTTTTGACATACTATTCCACAGAATTCCTAATCAGAATGCTGAAATAGACAGCTGAACCCTCTCAACTCCCTCAGGGGAGACTATGATGATAGTATGACTTTTAACCAATGGAAAAATGCAAACCAAATATTTGTTTAAATTGCCTCTGATGGAAAGGTATTGTTGGACAGGTGTCTTCCTCTGCTATTTCCATGGAGGTGGTTTTTAGTTTGATTACACTTGAATGTTAATAAAGATTTAATTTTGTTTCTAGTTTGGGGCTGCTTTCCATGAAATCTCTCAAGACCAGCAGAAAGTATGGTTTTTCTGTGTCCTGATGATTCTGAAGTCCTGACAGTCAAACAACTGCAAGGAATTCACAACTTCCTCTGGTTTTAGCTGAATTTCACTACCTGAGCCTCAGATAACCAAGCAGCAAATTTCCCTGGGTGTCACTCCAATACTGAAATTTATCCATGTCAGTATTATACAAGTTCCTTATATTTTTGGTGACTTTCTCACTTTGCATTTCAACAGTTAAAGACAAGACTTCATGTCCTTTGAGTTGCAGCCTTCAGAGACATGACAGATTAAGTAAGCTCTTTAGGTGGCTCTCTAATTTCAGCGTGAGTTGCATGATATTGACAGTGTAATTAAAACTACAAATCTGAGCTTTTTCATATTTTCTTTTCTAGCACACATTTCCATAAGCTACTTGTATGATATGAAAGGAAAGAATAATAATTTCCTGTGCTTTTTTTTTTTTTTTACTGAAGATTTAACTCACCAATTGCATCAGCCTCCCTTCTGCACCTCACAATAATGTAACCAGGTAGATTTGTCAACACATGTAAGTGGGTTTTCTTATACTTTCCTGTGATGTGTCTGTAGTCAGTGACAGCATTTTCTGGATAAAATGGGTTTAATCCAATACAGGTAGACCCAGATCTGGTTTTGATTAAATCTTTCCACCTCCAACGGCTTTGTTTCCCCATTAATATGATGGACTTAATGTACTGGTCTCCTTTTAATGTGATACAGATTTATAGAGGTGAAGTGCTGCTAAATAACATTTTATCATCAAATCCTGCATCCCTGGAGCTTGGATTAAGGTGAAGATGTTTGCTTGGTGTTCATTTGTTCTTTCTGTAATATCTATCTGCTTTGCATTTATTTTTAGAAGATGGCATGGATTTTGAGGTTCAGGGAAACGCTTCCTGCACTTGGAAGCAGCTGCCTCACTTTGTTGACCCTTTATAGCCTTAAGTTGTCTTAGCTACAGGAGAATTTCTGGCATGACTCACCCTGGAATCGAAGCTCCCAGGAATATACATCAGCAGAGCAGAATTGGAAAGTAAGCAGGTTTTCCCACTTCTGACTCTATTTCTGGCTGAGGTTGAATACCCCATGTGTCTTAGATTCCATATCTCTGAAGCTGAAGGCTCTTCTTAGAAATTCTTGTGCCTGAGAAAAGCAGGGTGAAGGCTGAAGAGCCTGCAGCCCTGGTCTGCAGCTGAGAGGTGCCCAGTGGGTGGGTACTAGTTGGGCTTGCAATTGCATGTATTGGGTGCTCTATGTGCTTTGTCTTAGCTGTGCTGCTTGTACAGGTACAGCCTTCTGGTTTGGTCCTAAAGCTGCCATTTTTTATCTGTGGTCAAAACAACAGAGTAATATTTTCTGCTATGGAAAAGCTTTTTTCTAGTAAACTAAAAATAGAGTGTAAGTATTTTTAAAGTATTTTGTTATTACAAATGTGGGTGAAGGAAAGCATTTAAAAATATATTGGATGAAATCTACATGGTTGGCAAAATTTCAAGCTTTGAATGATTACTGAATGATTGCTGTGAGGAGTCCTACTCTTTTCCTTTAAATTTTCAAAGATAAACCACATCCACACATGAAATTTGTTGACATTGTACTTGTAGCATAGATGCTATGAAAAAAATGTTGTTATTGCAAAAGCAAATAATTTAATAGTAAATTTAAATGAAGAAGAAATGAGATTTCTCCTCCTTCAAATAACCTGATTTTAATATCAATGAAACCTTGACAAAAAAAAATCTCCTGGAAGGGTAAAGGCTATTGAGTATTACAGAAAAGAACCACTTGAAAGTGGCCACAAAGAGCTTAAGGTGACACACAAGCACTGACAGCATTGCTCCTTCTGAGTTTTATTCTGGTCACACACAGATGTACTTGCTCTGGGCAAGGTGTGTAGGATCTGACAAAGTGTGCACAGGCTGTAGGCAGCCCAAATGTGACAGACATGGTTTAATGTGTTAAAATCTGGGGGTTAGCTGATTTTTTCAAAAGGTCACTTGCCCAAGGACAGCACATGTTTGTTGTTCACCTCAGTCTAACCAAGAGATGCAGCTTCTTGGTCTCCTCCCCTGTTTCTCTCACCCTCTGTGGCCTTTAGTGGAGCCCAGTTATGTACCTTTTTCTGACATAAGCCCCTATGCTGGATGAAATAGCCTGCAGATGTTGACTGGCAGGGAGTCTGAGAAGCAGACTCCTTTCACAAACAGACTGACCTTCACCTGGCTGGAGAGCATTATCTCAAATTTTCTTTAGATGTGTCTAGTTCAGCAAATTGTAGTTGATGTTAGGTGTGCCGGGGTATTGTGTTCATCAATGATTCTCTTCAGCTATTTCAGCCTGCATTGTCTTGTATGTGCAATGAAAATAATCTTTTCTTCTTACTGTGAGGGTTTAGGTGAATAATTTCTCTAAAATTCTCCTATATCTATTTCATCTTTGAGGGACATGTTGATGTAACAGTGAATACACACAAAGAATGTCAGCAGCCTGGAGAGCAGAGTTGGACTTCAGCTCTCTGTCTTTGCTCTGGTGCTTTCTCAGGCTACATACAGTGTCCACAGTTCTCTGCCTTTAAAAATATCTCAGATTAGCATCCAAGAGTATTAATATCTGTACACTTAGGGGTAACATATGCAAATGTATCATATTTGAGCTGATTCTTACTCAAGAAGTAAGGGGTATGTGCACAAGAATATTTCCAAAGAAGTTTTAAATTACTATTGTCCTCTGCAGACCCTAATTCCTTACGCTGTGCAGTAGCTGGCATTCCTCACCATCAGCCAACTACAGTAAATTGATTCATGTACACAAACTTCATTGAAGTCTTGTTTTTCCAGTTCTTAAAAACACTTCAGCCACAACTGATGTGGTTTAGTTCATATGACTCAAACTCTAAGCACTGTTGACCACAGAGAACATTGATTACCTAGTACTAGGCTCCATGTATTTTCCAAATTCTTCCCATGGTTTACTGATGATGCAAAGAAGTATTCTGTGCCAGTTCTGTGGCCATTGCAGAACAGCAACACAAGTAGTAGAGCAAACATAATGAGAAGAAGCTGCACAAGCCTGAGCTGGTTAAGCAGAGTAAGAAATATGGGCTGTAGTTGGCCAGGAATTGGTTTTTAATGACAGGGATACAGCAAATTGTGCATACCTGAGGAGAAACCAAGAATGACACAGTCCTCCATCCTCTTGTTTTGGCACATGCAATTAGAAGGCAGGATACAGATCACAGAAACGAGATACTGATCATATTAGGATTTCAGGTGAAAATAAGAGTAATAAAATTGAATAGGCAAAGGCAAGGATTCACTTCTGAGTGTAAATTTTGAAAACAGAACTAAGCAAAAGACTGATATACTCAGAGAGATTTCTCCACTGAGAAATATAACTGCACCTGGCACAATTTCAAGTTTTCTTCTCCCACTACTCTAAGAGCATAAAGATGTTGTTATTACAAATGAGAAATACCCAACATGCCTTCTTGTGGCTTCAACTGAATATCTGAAATGAGGAAAAAATACATCTTTATTCACACTGGATTCAGTCTCACATATAGTAAAATCACTAGAAAAGTACAGGTCTGTACAGGTCTCTACTATCTTAAATTTCCTCTCTAAATGACTTCATTAATTATTTCTACTTTTTATTGACTCTCTTTTCCCACTCAGAAACTCTATAGGTCCTCTTGACTAATTACAGCATTAAAATAACCACTAGAAAGAGTTTCAAAGGAGCAGCTGATCAAATGATCCCTAAATGATTTCCAAAGTTAATTTATGCCTATTGTCTAGTCTTGTCTCTAGACAATTTATTTGGTGTACAAGATGTAGGACTGCTCAAGACCACAGGGTCTGAAAGAGAATTGTGTTGAAAAACTACATAGACTTAAAAGCTTAACTGTCAGACCATGGTAAGAGATAACAGTAAATTGAAATAAAAAATTGTCCCACTGATTTTCCACAAAGTCTTTTATGAGAGGACTTCTACCAAAGCACTTGCTCATACCTTTGTCAAATGAAGGATGGTGGCCTAGCTGGATTTTGGCCATAGTCCTAGCAGACACAATCAGTTCTTCTACAGTTCAGTGTATTATTCCTCTTTGTTAGCCACAAAAATAAGCTTTTGCTAAACAACTTTTCAGAAGTGGAGAAGAGACATTAGTATTTACCTTTTAAACCAGTCTTGATCTGCCTGTAATTTTTTAAGTTATCAAAATTCTTTAGAATATTTATAAACTCCAGAAGAAACTGGAGATGCATTGGCTGTGGTTTTACTACATAAACCACTTTATTATCATTGTTATTTATGAAGTTTTGGTGCATTGTGAAACAGTTTCATCAAGTGCCAACCTCCCACACACGGATGAAATTGGCAAATGATTCTGTATTAAGGGTGTGTGTGTGTACATATATATATATCTGTGTGAATAAAGATATGCAAATGTATGTAGATATTCATGTTCTAGAAACAGTTACAATTTTCATTTTCAGCCCTGCGTGGGAGGCAGTTTCCTTCCATGGAGAGAACAACACACATCTATTGAGCAGAGAGGAGAACCCCGTGATTGGCACTCAGCAGGGAATGCTCAGAGTCCAGCCTGCAGCCTCTGTGCTGTCTGACAGGACAATGGGAGCTTAGCAGCCTGCAGAGCCCATGTGCCCTGAGAGGACACAGCAGGCCTGTGGGTTATCCTGCATCTGCATGGGCAGCAGCAAAGCAGAGTCACCCACACACTCTGCAGCTGCTGTGGCTGGCCCAGCCTGCAGCCAAGAAATTAGGGAAAAAAAAAAGAGTGAGGTGATGAGAAAGGATGAATTTGTGATTGGATGCAGCACAGAGGGTGTGTGAGAGGGGTCTGTGACAGCCACATGCTGAGTGACACTGTCCATGCCTTACTGTCCTCAGGGAACTCAGCTGCCTGCCTTCCCACAGAACCTGCTCTTGCTGTGTGCCACCAGGGAAGCACTGCAGTGTGTTCTACTGTCATGGACCAGGGAAAAGCCCTGCATGCCAATCAGTGCCAACAAATTACCAAGGAGTCAGTGGTCAGTCTCCAGCACACTGAACCCTTCCCAGAATCTACAGTAAACCCAGGTCTCTTGTCCTTGAGTTTAGAAAAGCAGTGTATTCATGCTAAAACTGCTTCTGAGGAGGCAACTTCCTTGGAGACAGCCTAACTTTTAGAAAACAAAACTAAAAATGGGCAAGACACAGGCTTAAGGAAATGTTTGCTGTGTGTCCAGAACACTATGACATCCAATCCAGTCCTGAAGTTTTATAAATATGTGTCTGGCTGTTGAAGTAATGAAGATAGAAAGGGTTCTGCAGACTACAAAGTGAAATTTGGATTGCTATTCCCAAATTAGGCTGGTTGAGAATTTCCTACAGATGAGGCAGCTCAAAATGTTAGAGAGACTTCTTGCCAAATTTCTGATCCCCACCTTAAAATTTCTCTCCCAGCAATCACAAGATGATGAAGCAAGCGTCATAATACATTAGTTTTCTCCTAAAGGCCAGAAGGAATTGTTCTTTCCTTTGCCCAGAGATAACAAACCAACACCATGTTTCCCAGTGTCACTGTGGTCTAAACTAATGCCAGCACCATCATAAATCCTGCCCTGCCATCAGTCCTGTTTCAACACAATCTGAAAGGACAGAACCATTTTTTTTGTTACCATAAACTGAAAAAAAACATACTTCTGTGACAGGAGAAAAATCTTGGAATTATGTCAAAGCAGTGATGGAAGAACACAAAAAAAGAGCTAAGAATTGAATTTTCTATCATGGTATAAATGAGTAAGTTTTCCATTTTCTGCTGATGACCAGACATGAAAGGTGTGCAGCAGCACTGCAGGTCAGGGACATTCTTCTTAGTGAGGGACAAGTATTCACCTACCTCCACAAGCTGCCAATTCAAGGGTCCAAAACATTTTGGGCTAAAGGAGGTACATAAGGAGGAACATGCTGATGGACATGTGAGGGGCTTCCTTGGTCAGCTGGGGTTTTCTGAAATGCAGAATGCCAGCCAGACCAGCACTGCAGGACTGGCTGCAACAAGAAAAAGGCTATAATGAACGATCAGTTAGATGTTACAGTGACCTTGACATACATGGATGGAAGGAAAGATTCCAGAAACAGAGACCAGGATCCAGGTTCAGCCCAGGCCTGGTGCAGTTCATGTAGAGAAGCCTACTCCTGCCTCTCCTCTCCTCCCCTCCCCTCCCCAACACAGCACACTACTGGTCACCTCATTCTCCAGCCATCCTTATTTCAATAATATGGCAAAATGAAAATACTTCTTTCCTTGCATACCTGGGCTGTTTTGCTTTCTAGCTTCTTTTAAAGAACCACAGTAGCTGCAGAAATCCTGCACTGAGCATTCTTATTTTTGCCCCTCACACAGGGTTTGTGGAGCCCAGCAGGCCTCTGTGATACACCCAGTATTAGCCACAGTTCTCCACAGTTTTATAGCAAGGACCATCTGGTGGTCAGCTGCCCAAATGCACAATTGCTGCCTCCTGCACCTGTTCAGTGTCATTCAGCCTCTCTCTGACAGTTGCTCTCCCATCAGAGGTCTTCCTCAGCGAGGGGACGAGAGGATGCAGCACGTCTCCTGAAACAGCAGCAGGTGCTTTTTGAGATTTCTGTTCATAAGGAGGAATAAATCCAATTTTCTCTTCAAAATGGAGATGACAGTAGGACCAGAAGGTAATCAGTTGGCTATCTGAGCCCTTTTACTCAAATCTCCCTGCCATTTCAGAGATGGTTGTGATGCCTGCAGTCATTCACAAGTGAGCTTGCAATGTACCTACCAGTCAGATGTGTACTACTGTAGCATGGTATATCTCTGTGCACACTAAGACTTGAAACCATAAAAGCTTCTTCAGAGACTGTCCTGACACACCAGAATGTCCTGACTGGACAGACTGGACCACAGCCATGTGCTCTGGGAAAAGCTGAATAACATAACCTGACAGCTCAGTGACCTTCACAGAGGAAACCTTGGAATGAGTTTGGGTTTAAACTCCTGAAAGTATAAAGCTTGCAGGAAGACTGATGCTACTTCTTACAGACATCCTTCACCCTCTTTGCATCTTTAACTTCCTACAAAAGCTAGATTTTGACAGAATAATGAGCTTAAATTTGAAACTAGAGTCAAATGCCCCTGGAGAAATTTCAGTTATTTTTCTTGACTGTAGCTAAGATCTTCACACACAAAAATCCCCCATATTAGCAAAAGATCTCCTTCAAAGAAAGGAAACAGAAGGAGAAACCTGTAATTTGTGATTAATATTATGACGTGCCCTGTTATTACTACAGAGAAACAAAGGGTACAAGCTATCAAAAAAAACCCACTTCAAGGATGGCAAAAAAGTAAAAGTGAAATTAAATAATATGTAATTTAAAAATAAGAGAGCTGTAGCTGTCATTATCAGGCTGAAAAAAAACGCCAGGAGAATGAAACAATATGTCTGCCAGACCAAACAGCTACTGCAGACTTGTCTCAAGAAAATCATCTGGGAAAAAATCTGTCTCAAGATCACACATACACACTGCAGAACTCATAAGTGAAAACTCTGGGGTAAAATGTAAACCAAAAGCAGGATACTCCCTGAGCTAAGCAACACTTGCTTGTCTGTCTTTTGAGACATGGTGAAATTTTCCCCAGCTTTCAAATGGTAGCTGGAAACACATCATCCTTTGTTCTTAAGCCTCTCACAAGGAAGTCACACAGACTAAAGGTTTGCTGAGCAAATATATGACTTTTTCCTAGTCTGCCAGTTTTATTTTGATGCTAAGTCCCTCTCAGCACATAAAATTGCTTAGTTGTTAGCCTGACACACTTCACCCTTATTAAGGCAAACATCCCACTGATTTGTAGGTTTGAGACACTTGTTGTCACCTGAGTGTAAGTTTATGGAGTGTTACCCTCCTGGCTGTATCATGCTGTAGGCATTTGCCTGGGAGGTGGATAGGCAGAGGGAATTTAAAGAACTAGCTTCAGCCTTTTCCCTCTCATTTTAAGACAATGTAACTCCCTTTGACAAGGTGTCTAAGAGCTGGCCCTGGACATCCCCTTCCCTGCCACCCTGTTTGGGAAGGGTGCAGGCAGCAAAAGCATTGCAGGTCCCGTTGCCTCACTGCAGCCCTCCCCCTCTGAGGAAATGAGTAGCTCAGTCATGTTCAGGGACAGCCTGGCTTCCCTTGTCACCAGCAGGGCACTGACACCTAGTACCCCTTGCTTAGGACAGCTCTTCAGGCAGTAGGGAGGATGCCCCTAAAACACCCCCTGCAATGACAAACTCCCCCCACACTGAGACAAGACTTCCTTTGAGAGGCATCTCCCTGAACTACAACCAGGAAGGAAGCACAGATGGCTACATAAGTCACTCAAGTTTGTAACAATCAGTTAGAAGAGTGTAAGTTATAGTTCAATATCTGGCTTCTAGAATTAACCTGATCACCACTGCATAGCTCACCTGACTTTTATCAGGGGCTAACTTTTGAGAATTACAGCTGTGTTTTGATAGGCCATGGGTGTCAGCTTTAATATAAATTAATGTATTAAGTAAGGACCTTAAAAAGCTTCTTTGAACACTCTCACCCTAAAAATGGCAACATTAAGATATGTGATTTTTCAAAGGCACAAGGCTGTAGCTGACTGGGAGATTTAATGCCTAGAGAATGCATGTCAAAGACTTTCCTGCTGCAAGCTGTAATTGCCATTTCTGATGCTATTTGAGGGAAAAAAATTCCATTCTCACAGCAAAAAAATGCAGAGAGATGCTGAGTATTTCTGAAGAAAATGCACATGGTCAAAGTCATTCTGCAGCTTGGTTTCCAGAGGATGGGAGACCAATATCTGCACTGCCACCACACTTCAAAAGTCAGTAACTCCAACCTATTCTGAAAAGGTATCAAGGAGAGACTTCATTTAAGTGGCTGCAAAAGAGGTCCAAATAATTCCTCTCAGGGGGAAAGATGGTCAGAAAGATGCCCCTGGCCTAGTGGAGATAATGTCAGTCAACACAGGAATATGGGGAAAGA